CTCTCTGGAATAATACAAGCATTTATTACAAGTGTTTTCACACGTCTATAAATTTTGTAGTGCAGTTCTCAGTGGAGGTGTACAATGATCACAAACTTTGGCTTGGATCCCCAAGCCAAATTTGGAGCTTCAGAATATGGGCAGATTTGGCTTGGACTGATTCAGATGAGTCAAGATTAGGAAAGCTGTTGCTTTGTGGCTGTCGGAGGCTGTTTTTTCCTGCCCCTTCCGAGCAGATCAAGACAAGAGGCTTCTAACACCAGTACTGATCGCGTTGAAGCAGGCCACCAGGCTGGCTTTGTCGTACTGCAGAGGTCATTAGCAAAAGACAGCAGTCAAGCTAGGAAACCATCTGACTAGGGAAATTACAAGAAGTTGGTTCCAAACTGAATCTTCCTCCCACTTCCTGACCAAATGGACCCAGTTCCTGCAGGGAATGTGGGATGCCACTCAGTTGGTCTACCCCTTTGATCTGCTTTCAAACTATGGGACTGATCATGTGACATCCATCCCCCTTTGGTTCTCACTTTTTAACCATGTTCCTCCTAGAACCAGACATGGTCTGGTTCTCACCAGCCTCTTGGCTTATCCCACCATTGGCTGGCCCTGGTCTTTTGGCTAAGCATTCCAACCCTGCCAGTTCTGATTCGGATTCTGAGGTGCTATTTTGGGAGAAGTGGGCCTAGAACCTAGAGTGGCTACCATTGGTTATCCTAGGAGATAAAAATAGATACAGCTATTGTTCTCTTTGACTTTTTCTGCCTTTCTTTGTCTTGCAAGATACTCAAGATAGCTTATAGATTCTCCTCCTCTCCATTTTATCTACACAACACAGCCCTGTGAGATGGAGTAGGCTGAGAGTCTGTGACAGGTCCAAAGATATCCTGTGATTTCCAGGGCTGAGTGGAACCAGAGCCCAGGACTCCTGAGTTCAGCACTCCAATCTTCTGAGCCTCTGCCTCCTGAAATTAGACAGTATTAGCAAGTGCAGCAGCTTCTTAGGACTGCCACATTCCAGAGAAATAGGTGCAGCAGATCTTGTGCTACATGCTGCATGCCTTTACATTTCAATTCTTAAAAAGAGAATGTTTGATTTTTTTCTGATAAAATTGGATTAAATTTGCAGGGATGATTACCACTACTGAGGCAATTAAGCCTGTAAAGTTTGAGGTTGGATTGCAGATTTGTGGGGTGAAGTGTGGTTGAATGATAGCTGGGTTTGGCTTCTAATAATATTTATTTGTTTATTTCCATTACTATGCCACCCCATAACCCAAAGTTTCTCTGGGTGGCTTACAATACTAGAACATAAAAATATACATACATACAATAAAATTATTGAACATATAAAAAATAAAACCATAACATAAAGCACCTCAAATAAAATATACTCACACATACCAGTAAACGCAACCACTAAATTAACCAAAATTGAATTGATAACATCCATGATAAAATATAAGTGTTAAATAAAATAAAATTAGAAAAACATATTGTGTGTTTTCCCTAGGACTTTGCAATTAGTGGGATTTGGGAGGGTGAGAATTCTGGGGGTGCGATCGTATGCATGATGAAAAACCCCCTACAGCGCCCAGCATTCCCCAGTCCGCTGGCTGGGGAATCCTGGGTGTTGCAGGAAGTTCTTCTGCCTCAGCATGCATAGGATTGCATCCTGAGTTACTCCAGGCTGTTTCCATCAGCTTCCTTTGGTCAGTTCCGCAGCAAGTCAAGAGGCCATGGGTTGGACAGGGAGCAAAGCTGGGGCAAAGTTGGAGCCTGCTTTGATAGAAAGCACTGCACTTCTGACATTGCCTGTAATTCTCAGAACAAAGCTGCACAGCAAACGTTGGGGTAATTGTCTTTTTCTTCGATACCTTCAAAATGGAAGGTGCAGGGATTTTTGTGCTAGAGTAGCCTAGACGCTCGCAGGATGTTGCGACATGTGACATGCCGTGTCCTCAGAGTTCTCTCCTCCCAAAGTACAGTGATTGGAAAGCACCTGGGAAGACATGCAGTTTGATTAGAAGCTGGACAGCCAATTAGCAACCACACTTCTCACCTACCCAGGTAACTCAGCTGATCGTCACTCCCTTTCCCAGGAATTTACAGAGAAGCAGAAAAAAAAAAATGCTGTTCTGGGGACAAACTGTGTCTCCAAAGAGCAAACTGCAGGTGTGTAACAGGCAGAGATTCCACAGAACTGGATGTTCAGGGGTGATGAACATCTGTGACCACTCCTGGTCCCATCAGCCCCAGCCAGCATGGCCAGTGGTTAGAAATGATAAGGGTTCTTGGTCAACATTTGGTTTTCTATCTCTGTTTTAAGTGAAGGATCAAAGTTGGGATCCACCATTGAGTGATGGCCCACTTTAGAAAATGCACATCCAACAAACAGGGAGTCTTGTGCACCAATGTTCCCAATCCTTTTTAAAATTTTGCACACTTTCCTTAGTGTTGAAAGTCACTTTGGAAGTAGCAATCTGTGCCGCCCTGAAAAGTTCTGGCCAAGCAGGGAAATGGTTTGTCCCAGAGTGGAATGCCGAATGTAGCATTGGTGGACCATCTTGGCATCCATGGTGCGAGTGCTACGGTTGGCTTTGGGGCACTTTAATCCATTCCTATGATGCCTGTTCCAGTGAGGTGAGAAATGCTTAAGAGCCTGGGACTGGGACTCAGGTGATCCGGGTTCGAGTCCCCGCTCGGCCATGGAGCCAGCTGGGTGACTTTGGGCCAGTCACAGACTCTCAGCCCAGCCTACCTCACAGGGTTGTTGCTGAGAGGATAAGATGGAGGAGGAGAATGATGTAAGCTGCCTTGAGCCCTTTGTAGGAAAAAGGCAGGATATAAAATAAATAAATAAATAAATAAATAAATAAAATATGGTTCAGCTCTGCTCTGCATGGGTCAGATATCTTCTGGGGTTCCATATCTAGTTCTGGTCATTGTGGCATAAGAAGCAGATCAGAAAACTGGAATGTGTCCAGGAGAAGGTGACAAAGGTAGTGAAGAGTCTGGAGACCAGGTCCTGTGTGGAAAATTTGAAGGATATGTGAAAAGTTTGAAGGAGGTGTGTGTGTTTGGCCTGCCAAAGAGGCGATAACCCTGGCCATTTTCAAAGAACTGAAGGGCTGTCACATAGACAGTGGAGGTATTTTGGCTTGCTTCACAAGTACGACACAAATCAATAGGTTTAAATAGACTAAACATTATTTATTTATTTAAACTATTTGTATGCCACCTATTGCCCTATAGCATCTCTAGGCCGCTCACAATCAAGCAATTAACCATCATATAAGACTAAAACAGCACCCCTAATAAATATAAAACATCCAATAAACAGCATAAATTAAAAATACAAATAAAAGCATGTAGGAGTTTGGTGGCTCAGATGTTAAAATATTTTTTAAAAAGGCAGATCTTCGCCTGATGCTGAAAGGAATATAAGAACGGTGCCAGGCGAACCTCCTTAGGGAGAGCATTCCAAATACTTCCATTCATAAGACTCCTGATGGTAGGAGCTATTCAACAGCGAAACAAACTGCCTTGATTCTCTTTGGCAAGGGGTTTTGAAGGATGGATTGGATGATTGGGTTCCTCGCAGCAAAGAAAGGCAGGATTAGTACAGTGTAGGTTAGTATAGTATAGTATTATACACCCCCCCCCAAACGAATGAATGACCACCTATCAGAAGTGCTGTGCATTGCCTGAAGTTGTAGTGGATTTCTTGTATTGGTAGGGGTGCCCAGATGAGGTACCCTCTAAATGTAATTTGAGGTGGTCCAGGAAGAGGAAGTCAAAGGAGTCAATAACAAAAACCTCTTCTTTATGTCTGGAAGTGTTCGATGAAGCTTGCAAAAAATGCAATTCTTCTCCTTTCTCACTGGGATCTTCTGGCCAAAATATTACAAAATTTGTGCATTTGAAAGTAGGGAGGGGTTTTGGTGTGTGTGTGTGTGTAAATATTTATTTATTTAAAACATTTGTATGCTGCCCAGTTGTGCCACAGCACCTCTGGGTGGCTCACAATCACAAGATAAAACACAATAAAAACCAACGACAACATATTAAAATACAATATCAATTACATATGGACAAAAATACAAAACAAAGGTTAAGTGGCATTAACTATTATATATGCCATTTAGGCCAAAACTGATGTGACATTGATATGTTATTGCTTCTAATTGGCGCAGTTTAAAAAGGGGGAGAGAACAATACCATTACACCAACCTCCAAGCGGGTTTGGGACCTCAACAGGAAGGAAAGGTAACTTTCCTTTGCCTGCAAATCTACCCCCTCCCCCACACACAACACACACACACACACACACACACATGCACTGGCATTTGCATTGTGAGGAAAACCCAACTGGCCATATCATAAATCCCACACCAAGTTTTATCTATGCATGTAGATGCAGTGAGAACCTGCAGCTTTCCATACTGAAGTTTATGATCTCTGAAGCAGCCCTGAGCAATTTCTCATTTTATATGCTATGATAATCAGATCCAAGAGGCATTCAAAGCTTTAATGCCGGAGTTTTTCATAAGCTTCTCTTTGTGATGTCATGGTTTTTCTTTCCCAGCACTTCATGGGCCTAAGGTCTCACACACTGTCTGTGAGTCCCCAGAGAATTTCATACAAGAAAGTAAGGTAAACCTGAACTGCAGCCTTGAGAAATACCCCTCCGTTTCTGAATCACAGGGGTGTTTGTTTGGGAACAAAAGGGAAACACAAAACCTCCTTTTGTGGAGCAAGGTGTATCTGCTGGAATGTAACAAGCACATGAATAGGCCTGGGGAGGTGAATGAGGATCCTGGAAGTTGGCTTTGATGCCGGTGATGATGAAAGCAGGAGGGAACGTGCGTGAGAGAGAAAAGGTCCATGCTATGACAACGCCCCCACCCTGGGGGAATAAAAGGAGCAGAGATCAAGGGAGTACTGCTACTTTTCGGAGAATTGAGCAGGGAAGTCTCTGGGTGCCTCTCTTTTCTGGCAGCATGTCCACCACTATCCGGCAGTACACCTCCTCCTCTTGCGTGAAGGGGCCTTCCTTCGGTGGGGGCTCCGCTCGACTTTCCTCCAGCCATTTTGGTGGGGGATACAGAGCCCCCAGCATCCATGGTGGGGCAGGTGGTCTCTCCCTCTCTTCCTCCCGCTATGTCTCCGGAGTAAGCAGTGGCTTTGGTGGTGGCTATGGAGGCAGCAGCTACTGCAGCAGCTTTGGTGGGGGCTTTGGGGGAGGCTTTGGAGGCGGCCTGGGGGGCAGCTTTACTGTTGCGGGCGATGGCCTGCTGGCAGGAGGCGAGAAGGAAACCATGCAGAACCTGAACGACCGCCTGGCTGCCTACCTGGAGAAGGTGCGGGCGCTGGAGGAAGCCAACACAGAGCTGGAGGTGAAGATCAGGGAGTGGTACAAGAAGCAGGGACCTGGTCCACAGCGAGACTACAACTGTTATTTCAGGACTATTGAGGACCTGAAGAGCCAGGTAAGGCGAGACCATTTTAAGCAGAGTGGGGCTCCTGGCCTAATGCAGGAGGCTGGGCTGTGGAAAGCACACATTTCCTAAACGAGCTAGGGAACCTCTCAAATGCAATTTTCCAATATGGCTTTCATGTAATGTTCTTCCTAAATTTGGTTCTCAAATAGCACACAAATATGCATTAACTCAGTGTTTTCTGTATAAAATTACCATCTCCTGAAACAGCCAGTATTGACCTCAAAATAACTGTACGACAGCAAAATGGTGTAAATGGGAACTCCAGCACAAAACTGCTGAGTTTGAATTTATCAGCAAAGCTTCTTTGATTTAATTTGGGCTTAATCAGGACATATTCCTTTTCATTTCATTCATTCATTCAATTTAAATCCTACCTATTTCTTTTTTAAAGAGCTCAAACCAGCTCATTCGCATCCCCTTCTTTGATTCAATTTGATTTACCCCCACAACAACATCAACCCTGTGAGGTAGATGGGCTGAGAGTCTGTGACTGGCCCAAAGTCACCCAGTTGGCTCCAGGGCTGGGAAGGAACTAGAATCCAGATCACCTCAGTCCCAGCTCCATGCTCTGAACCACTACATCACATTGGCTATAGGTTCTCAGTTACTATAATATACCACTTACAGCACTATTATTATAAATTACCATGTTGCAAGTGAGTCACTATTTCTTAGCTTTGCATAGATGTGTCATTGACCTGGTCTTGCCTCTTGCATTTTCAGCCTTTGGGTTCCTCAATAGACACTGTTCCTCTGCATTCATCACTGCATCCTTCACTTTGAAGCTCTTATGTTGCCAGATCAGGACCCTTTTCAATTTTAACACAACTTACCCAGTTGCAACTCTGAATTTCCTACTATTGATATTACTGCTAGCATCATTATGAGTACTAGTGTTCATTCATGCACATTATTACTGTCCTGGAAAGTTTTCAGTGTAAAATCTGGCTGTGGAAAGACAAAAAGGTGAAGAGGAGGAAGGAGAGGCCATGGCAACAAGGAATGGAGAGGAAATGTAGCTTGAAGCCGGAACACTGACTTTGTTCCGGTGGATAACGGGGTCAAAAATAGGGAAGGTGGCATTTCGCATGACCATGACTTTTGACTAGGACTGCAAGACATTGCAAAGGCATCTGCAGAGGATTGCCAGCATGGAGCAGGACAGGAGGGGCCCCTCTTCATCTTCTGAGCTTGCTGTGGGTGGGTGGGATCTTCTACAGGTCTGCCTAAAGATATTTGTGATGTGGGAAAGTTTTGCATCTCAAACAGCATTACAGAGATGCTAAGGGGTAAGGTCCCTTGAGTCATGAAACAGGTTCTGACCTAGGTGTGACCTTTGTGTAGGCATATGATGAAATGCAGGCAGCGGAAGGTGTACAGAAGGTGATTTCTCTCGCAGGTTCAATAGCATAGAAACATAAGAAGCAGTCGTATAGCGAGTCAGATGACTGGCCCATCTGATCTACTAGTACTGACACTGACTGGCAGCAATCACTTCGCTGGGTTTCAGGCAGGAGTTTTCCTAGCCCTGCCTAGACGTGCCTCAGAGGTGTGAGTCTACCCAAAGAGGGCAGTGCCTCCTCCCAAATGGAAGCCTGAGTCTGCATTACTTAGGCCGTGGAGGCATCATCAGTGGAAGGAACCAAGTCAAAGTCCCTTGCAGGGTGAAAATATTCTCCCCTGTCTGAAAAATGGTCGTTTCCTTTTCCGAAGGACCACAGAACTCCAGGGCCAGCTCAAGACATGTGGGTGCTTTGGATGAGAAACCTAAACTCTGAATCAGTGCAGAGAACAGTCTGCTAGGAAGTTCTTCTGTACAAGCCCTAGCAAAATGCTTCTGAAACCTCGCAGGAGGGAAAAGCTGACAGTACAGAAGTGCACTTGGCTTCTGCATGTTGGAAGGGGAGAAGGTTAAGCCCCACTCCCCATAGCACATCCCCCCAAATAGCTTTTCATAAAATAAAAAATCCTTAATGACTTCACTAGAGTTCATGCCCCAGTCTATGCCAAATACTGCAAATTTCTGTTGCTGGTGATCCAGTTCTTTCTAAACTGTCCTTTGACTTCTCTGGTCACGACTGACGCAAACCACTGGCCTGCTCTTGCACATTTAACAGCAGGCTAATCTGCAGAAATCAGCAGGCGAAGGTTTTGCTGGGAGAGAAATAACCATGGTAACTTGCTAGAACTTGCAGATCCAATTGCTCACAAGAGCAAAAGGTGATAAAATGCTGGCATTTGTAGTCCAGTGGGCATCCCAGTGTGCATTTTTCCTTCCTGCAAGTCAGTTTTGCTTGACAGTCCATAGTTCCTGAGAGCTTATGCCATAATAAATTTATCTTTAAGGCACTACAAGGGCTCTTTATTATTTGCACAGCACGGACAACCAGCAAAGTCCTTCCCCATACGTTCACAGCCATGGTCCCTTCGTCACTGTACCCATTTTACAGAGGGATCGGAGACAGCCCAATGTTTCACCAGAATTCATGGATCTGAACCTGCATGCAATTCAGCACTCAGTGAAAAGGACCACTTGGTGATGGCACATCATGCCAGGAATGATCCTTCCCGCCCCAGTCCATCTGCTCGGCGGCACCTCCACCCTGCGGTACATTTCAAGGGTGCTCAGGGCCAGCCGTAACATTAAGCATCTCTCAGTGACTGCGCAGGACAATAGTTTATAAGGACAATGGCACTGCAAATTTTGCTTATGGCCCTGATCTGTTACCACTGAAACAGCATCTAAAATGTGTGATGATGTCTATCAACACTGGGAGAAAGGCATTCTGTACATGTTCAGAGGAAGCCTTAACAAAACTCAAGTCAGAGCATATTCCTGTTTACAAATTAGATGCAAAAAATAGAAACCACCCATTTCTTTCCTTCTTTCAGATCCTTTCTGCCAATGCTCAAAATGCCAGCATCCTCTTGCAGATTGACAATGCTAAGCTGACTGCAGATGACTTCAGAACTAAGTAAGCCTAGCTTTAATCGCAAATGGCAATTGCTTTCCTTTGGTGGGTTATCAGCAAAGTCATCTCCAGGAATGGAAGTTACGTGATAAATACTGCCTTTCACAACTCTCCCATTGACTTTCTTGCACTCACCTTGTGGAAACAGGTTTGAGACTGAGCATGCCCTGCGCCTGAGTGTTGAGGCTGACGTCAACGGCCTTCACAGAGTCCTGGATGAACTAAACCTGACCAGATCTGATCTGGAAGTGCAGATTGAGAATCTGAAGGAGGAGCTGACTTACCTGCAGAAGAACCATTTGGAGGTGAGGATGCTCAGTTTTTAGCCTTTCCCAGGGAGGCACAGAGCTAAAATGGGGCATATGCACACAGCAGGATTATATCTGGAGAATCCAGCACATAGCAGTATTTTCCAGTGTGTCCTATGAATAGAAACATAGAAACAGAGTGAGTCAGAAGGGGTCCCCCAGGCCATCTAGTCTGACCCCTGGCTCCAGCTGGCTCCGCTCATGACATGCCTGCCATTTGCATGTCTAAATGCATGTCCACTGAATGATCAAGGACAGTGGATTGTCACTACAAGATGCCACTTTTAAAAAATGTTCATAAAAAGAGGTAAGGAACAGAGAAAGAAGAAAAAGGATATCAAGGGGTATGACACAAATATTGCATATAATTTCAACATCTAATAAGTTCATGAAAGAGCAAAAATGTCTCTCTCTTCTACCCACAATTAAGCCAATGATTTTTTTAATTAAGATTCACAAACAAATTGGTCTGATTTATCAAACTAATTTAATATTGTAGTATTTAGCATTGAAGTTAAAGTCATTAATAATATTTTTATGAATTCTGTTATCTTGAATATTAGTTAAATTGCTTATAATAAACTATCCATTTTTCATTAAATTCTTTGGCAGATCTGTGTGTGTAATTAAAAATTTGGCCATTATTGCATTATTGCTAGCTTATTTTTCCAGTCTTCGGTAGCTGGACTACAAGGTGTCATTGAAATATCTTTGAAACGTGGGTTGAACAAGTCCTCATCAAGTGTGATCTTATTTAATAATCCTCACAACCATGAAGTGGGGCCTGGTTCACACAGACACAACATTTGTTTGGATGCACTTGGTTACTGGAAACGTCATCACAGCAGTTCACTTCTGGGAACTGCCTCCAAGGAAGAACACCACGTTTAAAAACAAGGTCTGAATGTTGTAATTGCGATGGCCCATTCACATGGCCAAATCACTCCCGGATGCCGCAGTCATTGAGCGTTTAGCTAACACATATGAAGCAGCTTCTAAAGCTCAACTGGAAAAGCTAACATGCCAGGCACATGTAATCTTAATCTTCCCATCCTGTTTGAAAGCCATTTGAGCTGTTTGCAACCATCACTTCCTGCGGTAGCATCTTCCATAGCATAGCTAGGCACTGGGCGAGGAAATGTTTCCTTCGGTCTCTCGTGAGGCTTCCAGGATTCAGCTTCTTCAGCTGCCCTCAGATTCTAAAATTGTGAGAAAAAGAGAAACACGTCCATCCACTTTCTCTAAACCATGCTGGAATGTGTATGTGTCTACCATGTCCCCCTTTGATGGCCATCAGCTTAGCTTTAAATTGAGCTTCAGCAAAGTTATGGAAGGTGATGCTATTCATGGCTACTAGTCAACTTGGCTATGTGCTAACACTGGAATCTGAGGCACCACACCTCTGAGCGCCAGTTGCAGATGAACTAGAGGGTTGGGTGTCCTGCTCTGGGTTGCCCAACGTGCAAAGAGAGGATGCTGGAGTAGACAGGCCTTTGGTCTGACCCAGCAGGGTTCCTCTTATCTTCTAATGGTCTAGATCTTCTCCCTGAAGCTTGTTCCATGTTTAGGAGGATAACCATGGCAAGCAGTCTCAGTATAAACGAGAATAAAGCCTCCACAAAGCTAATTAGCAATGGCTGCTTTGACTCCATCGTAGACCAATTGCGGCCAGGACAGGGAACAGAAAAACAGAGGTTATGGAGATAAGGCTGAAAGAGCTTGATGATTATTACAGCTTCCTATTGTGTCTCTCCATCATAGGAAATGAATATTCTCCGAAGCCAGATAGGTGGAGAAATTACAGTAGAAATGGATGCTGCTCCTGGGGTGGACCTGACCAAGATCCTGGCAGAGATGCGCGAACAGTATGAAAAAATGGCAGAGCAGAACCGCAAAGATGCCGAGCAGTGGTTCTTCGCCAAGGTGGGCCTTCCTTTGGAAGAACGGTTATTCCAGAAAGAATCTTTTGATTCATGTGTCTTTACTGTACTGTCTCCCTTTCCTTGCAGACTGAGGAGCTGAATCAGGAAGTTGCCATCAACACAGAGCAGTTGCAGAGCGGCAAGTCGGAAATCGTAGAATTGAAACGGGTTCTTCAAAACTTGGAAATAGAACTACAGAGTCAGCTCAGCATGGTAAGAGACCTCAACAATGATTCTTAAACACACACACTTTAGGACATATATATATCAGCAAGTACACATTTGTGATTGTTTTTTGTCCTGTGGGCCTGAGCCCCAGATTTTTTGGTACCTTTCACTGTCCGAGTCCAGATAGTCTCCTTACTTTGTTGAGATGCTCTGCATTTCCAGCCACTTTCATGATAATCAGCCTGATAGTGATATAATGATAACAGCAATGCATTTGATAACATCATTGATATACATTTTCAATGCATATGGTATGTGTAATTTTCAAACAGTGTTCTGAGAAACTCTGGAATTATTCTACAAGAATCATCCAAATTCAGTGCCCTACAGGTACATTGGAGCACAGCTCCAGTTTCCAGTCTGCCTGGAACACACTGACTAGTCCAGCAAATTTGGAGGGCACCTGATAGGGAAGACTCCTCTTTGAGAAGACCAATAAGTGCTTGAATGCTCACAGAATCTTCTTCTCATCTATTGATGAAAAACCAGTGTGGAAAATGTTCCCACAAGTTTAGGAACATGTGCTTCAGTGCTGTAGGTCCTCCTCTTCTCTACAGCAACCACACTAGAGTCAAAAAGAAAGAGGGTTTTGGGTTCTCCTTCATGAACCTCCTTGTACATCCCTTCTTCTAGTCATGGCCAAATAATCCAATCTGGCAGGCAGAAACTGGGGGGAGAGTCATTGTCCTCCGGTGTTAAATAAGAGAGGACTCCCTTCCTAGAAACCTGTGGCAGAAGCCTGGCCTGGGGAGCTATTTGGCAACTGCATTTCATCAGGCCCCAGAGCCTCTTCTGCAGGGAACAGATATTCATGCAGCATCAGCCCTCGAGCTTGGCAGGCAACTGGAGACCTCAGGGGTGCCACAAATACTAGGTTGTTGGTCTTCTCCTTGTCCAACAGGGCCATGCATTCTTCCTCCTGCACTTCAGGTCCTGCTTCCAGCTGAGGCACCTGAGCTCAGAGATCTCAAGCTGGACAGTATGGACAGGGTTGGGCGTGACCATGCATGGCCCAGGGTTTACTCTGAGTGGGAGCCCAGTCTAAGTCCCCCCGCCCCAATCACTGGAGATAGGTTTCCTCAAGACAAGTCTTGGCCTTTATTTATCTGTAGGCAAATTTAATGAAACAGCTAGAAATGTCGTGTCATCCTGATAGCTGGTTGGGGAAACCCTCCAGCGATAGACTGAGACAGGTGGCTTCCCACAGACACAGCCTCTGATCCGTCCATCCCATTCTCATTCCCCAGAAAGCAGCACTGGAGGGCACCTTGGCGGACACCGAAGGCCGCTACGGTATGCAGCTGGCCCAGCTCCAGGCCCTGATCAGCAGCGTGGAGGAGCAGCTGGCCGAGCTGCGGTGTGACATGGAGCGCCAGAACAACGAATACAAGATCCTCCTAGACGTCAAGACCCGCCTGGAGCAGGAGATCGCCACCTATCGGCGCCTGCTGGAGGGAGAGGAAACCCAGTAAGCCCAGGCCATATTGGGATTCAAAATGGGGAAGGAGGAAATAGGTTGAGCCGGGGAGGTTTGTGAGCATTAATATCCCATGGGGAGGAAGTTGCCCAGTAGGGCCGCCAAGCGATCATCCAGTCTGGTTCTCTCATTCCAGTGCTTCAGCTTAAGTCCGTTGTACATATCTGTTGTTACATGAAGCTGGACCATCGTAGCTGTCCTTGTGCAATGCCTCGTGCTGGCTTGCAAAACTGGTGCAGTGCCAAAGGCAATGCCAGGATAGAGGTCCGTCTACCCACTCCCAGACCCAGACTGGCCTACTGCAGTTCCTTGCAACATTTGCCAAAAATCTAACGAATGGAAATAATACCTCCCACTGTTCATGTAGCCTAAGAGAAAAACCAATTTATTATTAAATTAATCAGTTGCTGTGCGATTGTATCCTTCCTGTCATGAACTATCACTCTTGGTTACTTGTCTCTGCACCTGCTTCATTATAAATGAATATGATGGCTTATGGTTTTCTAATTCTGCTTTTTCTCATTCTCTAGTATTTCTACTCAGTACGCATCGGCTATCAGAGAGGGTAAGCATCTGTTGAGACTTTATTCAGTTATACTCTTGGTTTCCTATTACATTGATTAAATACTGGCCTTCAAGGGGTGGATCATACACAACAACAGGGTGGGGGCACAGTGGTTTAAGGTGGGTCATAAGGGTAGGTTCCTAGTGCTTCCCTTCTTCTCTTTTAGAGGAGAGAGAAAGAACTTGTGAGTAAGAGAAAAAGAAACACAGACAGAGATGGAGAGAGAAGGAGAAAGACATATCTTGTAACAAATTTCAATTAGCCCCAAGTGCTTTATGACAGAATCCTAGGTGTGTTTAGACTGAAAAAGTCCTCCAACTTCCAGCCAGTCTTAGCCAGCAGCTGTAGGATTCCCCCCCACCCCCACCCCCCATCTAAACTTGCATAGGAATGCACTCTTTCTTAAAGATAGCCCCTAGCTCCGCACAAAGATTAGAGAAAGGCTATGCAGTTACTGAGCCAAAACAAAAGGCCCTTAACATCAGCTTGCTTTTCCACTTTTTGGCAAAGGAGCTGAGGGGGCGGGGGGGGGGGGCGTGTTCCATTTGGCATCTTAAAATCCCATTCCTGCCTTATAGGCACAGCTCTTCCTCTCCACACGAGGAATCACTTCAGGCAGAATTGCCTTACATTCAGAATCAGATGAGATTTTGGCAGTGCTTCCTTTAGCAAACAAAACAAAGCAAAGCAAAGCACCCTACATTCTAACCTATATTTTCAACTGTACTGTAGGCTGCCTAGGAAGGTCTCAGCAGTTCCAAGTGGATAAACACAGACAGACAGACAGACAGACAGACAGACAGACAGACAGAAACAAACTGGGTGCCAGAGGGGACAGTAGCAGGTGGCAAGTGCCGTTTCAGGTTTCTGCCTTGCTCCTCGGCAAGTAACATTTCTCATTTCCACTTCCCTCTGTAGGGCCGAAAACCACCCACCAGGTTCGCACAATCATCGAGGAGGTTCAAGATGGAAAAGTGATCTCCTCCCGTGAACAGGTCCGCGTCTCTGCACCTTAAGGCTACTGTTTGGACCCCCCTGCTTTTCCCCTCCTTGGTGATGCTGCTCTGTCATTCCCTGGGGGCTCCACTGCCTGCCGCCCACAATTCAAGCTCTGTGTGGCTGTATCCGCAGGGCTCTAATAAAGCCTTTTCCATTTCCTGCAAGCAAACCAGTGGGTTTGGTCTTGTTTGATTCAGTTGAAGTGAATGCTTCTGTTGTTCTTTGTCTTTTCACCTTCAGCCTTTCTAGCCAGACATGTCAAGTGAAAGCCAAGAATAACAACACACATTCACACAAAGAGATGTGTGTGATTGAGTTGATTTGCACCTCAGTATCACAATATTGACCCAAGCCATTTCTTGCTCCCTAAATAGAAAATTCTAAGAAATACATTCCTGTAATCCCTTTGGTATTCCAAGGAACAATGCAAAAAGGCCTTTCATAGAATCATACAGTGGAAAGGGGCCAAGAAGGCCATCGGGTCCAGCCAGGCCTCAGGCTTCTCATCCAGATTCTAACCAGACCTCACCCTGCTTAGCTACCAAGATTAGGCAGGATCAAGCTACATGCTTAAGCTTTCCATATCAGGCTATATGGAAAAATGTTTCACACCACACCTGCACAATAGCCATAAGAAACAGAGGGTGGGTTTGCACAACACAACAAGCCACAGTGATTTCTTGCACAGGATGATCTGCTGTGTTATTTGAACCCTGTTGTGGTATTTCAGCATGGTACACTCGGTTTTTAGACATCATAAGAAACAATGGCTTGTTTTATGATTTCTGTACTTCACCATAATTTCTCTGGTTGTTTGAATCTGGCATCATGGTTTCCATGGTCCTGATATGCAGCTACCAGAGAGTCCCCTAGAAAGAGTGGCAGCTGCTCTAGCCACCCAGCATGGAATTGAATTTCAGGAGCAATGGCTGATGGGATATGTGCCAACAGCAGGAAGGCTCAGCAAGTAGGGTGGTAACCATGCTAGTATAGAAATCACTTGATTGTCTGTCAGGTACGTCTAGGCAAGAAACTGCACTGTGGAAACCATGCAAGATTGTTTGTCATGACATGTGAACCCAGCAAGAGACTGGGATGCACTTAAGCCCATTGAAATCAATAGTCTTAAAACACACTCATACCTCTGCACTGGATTTTGGCTAATATCTCATTAAGGACTTCAAGACAAATGATGAAGTTTTATGACTTGCCTCCTGGACACTTTCCATAAAGAACCTCTAGTTTATTTATTTATTTGAGTTTTATCCTGCTCCATTAACCATAAGGTTAATTGTTAGAAGAACCTTACAAGGGATCACATCACCAGGAACAGTATCAAAGAGGAGGCCACCTTACCTTCATAGGCCTCTTAGGGAAGAGGTGGAAGTTTGCTTACTAGACACGGGAAAGCTCAGATCTTTTGGGAGAGGAATCTGAAATGGCCAATCACCACCAGAAGTTGCTCACTCTCCTTAAGGAGAAAGCAAAAGATACAGTGATCTCTCATTCTTAAAGAGAAAAGCCACCTTTAATTCTGCTCATCCTTTGTTCCTTATTACAATATGGGAATGCTTGAAGATTCTCCCTGGCCTGCGTTTTGAAGCAAACAGACCTGATCTGCACCTTTCATTCTGATGTGCATTCTGCATATGAGTCATGCTTTAGAAAATGCACTTCTCTGAATTTTGCAATGAGGTTCTTGACTCAAGCCCATATAGAAACACCTATTTTAGGATTAAAAACACTGAAGGTGCAACTGAATAGGTTATACCCTCAATGCTTGTATGCCTCCAATCGCAGGCTTACAAGCATTCCCTGCAGAGCGGTGGACACAGCAGACACCATCTCTGCCTCCTCCTGCCCTGCCGGTCAACCAGGTGTGGACTTCGGCCATCTAGCCATGGCACTTCGGATGGGAGGAAAGAGGCTGGAGCGCCACCAAGTTACCTCATCCCCGGCAAGCTCCGTTTCCTTCCCTTCTTGTCCCACGGAACACCCCCTTCTCCTATATTCCAAGGTTGCTCTCCTGAGCGTGCAGAAACAGCTGCTGCAGTTCTGTTCTCACAAAGAGAGAGAGAGAGAGAGAGAGTGTGTGTGTGTGTGTGTGGAAATCCAAGCACACCTCTGAGTTTGGAGCCCTGTTTCTGACCTTGGATGGGAGAATCTAAAGAAACCTTTGGGCTCTGAGAGAGGAAGAAAGAAAAAGAAAAAAGAAAAAGAACATGCGACTATGTAAAATGTTATTAATTTTTTATTAAATTATTAATTTAATTATTAAAATGATGGGTAAATAAAAAGGTCTTTTCCTGGCACCAGATAAATACTGAGAGAATAAAAAGTGTCCATGCATTGCTCTAAGGCATTTCAACCCTTTGAACCTTCTAAGGCTGCAAATTTGCACCAATTCAGGAATAAGCGCACTGAACTCAAGGGGACATAGAACATGCATAGGGTAGCACACACTCTTATTCTTTTTATTATATTCCATAATACATTGTATTATTAGTTTTCCCTCATGTTCCCCAGGATGGCTTACATGTTTCCTAAGCCACTTGAAGTGCAGTCTTATGCAGCTTTCTACAGAAAAAAGACCTGCAACACCCAGAAGCCCCAGCCAACTCTGCTGACTAAATCTGCTTGTACATCCTTAGAGGGCCAGGGATGTTTAAATTCAATGGCAGAACCACTTCATGTTCCTTTAGATCAGGGATGTCCAAGCTTTTGGCTTCTCTGGGCCACATTGGAAGAAGAAAAATTGTCTTGGGTTGCACATTAAATATACAAACACTAACGAAAGCTGATGAGCAAAAACAAAGGTCTGTGCATAATTTCCGTGATATCTGCTACCACAGATAAGCAAAAAAGTCCTCACATAATAATCCTAATTATACGGTGCCCCGTTCGGAGAGTCTTTTAAAATCATTGAGCAAGTCCCAAGTTTGCGATCACTAATACAGAAAATGAACATATCTAAGTAATAAAACTTCATTGATTTTTGTGGTATTTTTATTATAAAAATAAAAGAAAAGAGGGCAGCATAAAGCTAGTGGGATATTTTACATTGCATTTGAGAAACTAATGCATCAATATCTGGTTTGATGGAAGTAGTTGCGATTCTCAGTGAGTTCTCAAGATGCTCATCAGATATTCTGGTTCTAATTTTACTTATAGTGTGCTTCATTCTTGCAAAGAGGTTCTCACAAATGTTGTTAGTCGCAAAGTCGTGTCTGACCCATTGCGACGCCACGGACAACACTCCTCCAGGCCTTCCTGTCCTCCAACATCCCTTGGAGTCCACCCAAGCTCACACCAACCGCCTCAGTGACTCCATCTAGCCACCTCATCCTCTGCCGTCCCCTTCTTCTTTTGCCATCTATTGTTCCCAGCATTAGGCTCTTCTCCAGGGAGTCCTTCCTTCTCATTAGGTGGCCACAGTATTTGAGTTTCATCTTCAGGATCTGCCCTTCTAAAGAGCAGTCAGGGTTGATTTCCTCTAGGACTGACCAGTTTGATCCCTTTGCAGTCCAAGGAAACTCAGGAGTCTCCTCCAGCACCACAATTCAAAGGCCTCAATTCTTTGGTGCTCATCCTTCCTTATAGTCCAGCTTTCACAGCCATACATTGCAACTGGGAAAACCATAGCCTTGACTATACACACTTTTGTTGGCAGGGTGATGTCTCTTCTTTTTAGTATGCTGTCTAGATTTGCCATAGCTTTCCTCTCCAGGAGCAAGCACCTTTTAATTTCTTGGCTGCAGTCCCCATCTGCGGTGATCTTGGAGCCCAGGAAAATAAAATGTGTCACTACCTCCATTTCTTTCCCATCTATTTGCCAGGAAGTGAGAGGACCGGATGCCATGAACTTAGTTTTCTTAAGCCAACTTTTCACTTTCCTCCTTCACCTGCATCAAGAGGCCCTTTAGTTCCTCTTCACTTTCTGCCATTAGAGTGGTATTATCTGCATATCTGAGGTTGTTGATATTTCTCCCAGCAATCTTAATTCCAACTGGTGATTCATCTAGCCCCGCCTTTCTCATGATGTGCTCTGCATATAAGTTAAATAGGCAGGGCGACAGTATACAGCCTTGCCAAACTCCTTCCTCAATTTTGAACCTATCAGTGGTTCCGTGTCCAGTTCTCACTGTTGCTTCTTGACCCGCATATAGGTTTCTCAAGAGACAAATAAGATGGTCTGGTACTCCCATCTCTTTAAGAACTTGCCACAGTTGGTTGTGATCCACACAATCAAAGGCTTTAGCATAGTCAATGAAGCAGAAGTAGATGTTTTTCTGGAACTCCCTGGCTTTCTCCATGATCCAGCGTATGTTGGCAATTTGATCTCTAGTTCTTCTCCCTCTTTGAAATCCTGCCTGTACTTCTGGGAGTTCTCGGTCCACACACTGCTGGAGCCTAGCTTGTAGGATTTTGAGCATAACTTTGCTAGCACGTGACATGAGTGCAATGGTGCGGTAGTTTGAACATTCTTTGGCATTGCCCTTCTTTGGGATCAGAATGCAAACTGACCTCTTCCAATCCTGTGGCCACTGCTGAGTTTTCCAAATTTGCTGGCATATTGAGTGTAGCACCTTTACTGCATCATCTTTTAAGATTTTGAATAGCTCAGCTGGAATACTGTCACCTCCACTAGATTTGTTGTTGCTCAGACTTCCTAAGGCCCATTTCATTTCACATTCCAGGATGTCTGGCTCGAAGTCAGTGACCACCCCATCATGGTTATCAGGGACTTTAAGCTCTTTCTTGTATAGTTCTTCTGTGTAATCTTGCCACCTCTTCTTAATCTGCCTCTGTTAGGTCCCCACCATTTTGGTCCTTTATCATGCCCATCTTTGCATGAAATGTTCCCTTCAAATCTCCAATTTTCTTGAAGAGATCTCTGGTCCTCCCTACTCTATTGTTTTCTTCTATTTCTTTGCACTGTTCATTAAGAAGGCATTCCTATATCTTCTAGCTATTATCTGGAATTCTGCATTCAATTGGGTGCACCTTTCTCTTTCTCCCTTGCCTTTCACTTCCTTTCTTTCCTCACCTATTTGTAAAGCTTCCTCAGACAGCCATTTTGCTTTCTTGCATTTCTTTTTCTTTGGGATG